TTAATAAATACTTGTGTTTTCTTTTCTTTTTTTTCTTTTTTCTTTTTCTGTATAGTTTTGATATGGAGGACATCTAAGGCAAATTTGGCCCAGAGGCACATTTGAGACCAATCAAATGTTCATCTAGACCTAGGTTGGTTCGACCCGCCAATCCAATCCTATTTAATCAAACCAGGCATATCGTATTTCGACTTTGTTTGACATCAATCAATATAAGTTTGTGTTAAATTTCTATTCATATATGATTGGAATATGTTGAAAAGCAAATAATATTTTCAGACAATCAAAATAGTCATCCTCATCGTCCTTACAATCGGATTACGTTATATTTTCTTAATAAAAAAAAATTAGGTTTCGATTAAGTGATGACTATATAAAATATGTTTTAATTAAGTTAAATGCTAAACTTTAATAATGGTCGCAAATTTTTACATTAATTTCAATTTCAACTAATTCGTTCACTTATTCTAATAAGTGGTATGCAAATTTTAAAAATCTCATTAATTTTAATAAAATAAATTTTGCACAGACTTCATACACAAATTAATCATTGCCAAAATTCTTAAATTTCAACAAATATATATATATATAAATATATATATTTCTTTTTATTTTATTAATTTCATATTGTACATTTTTATGTAATTCATTCTGTGCATAAGAGAGATTTTTTTAACGTTATTTAAAGTAAACATCTATTAAGGAGTTAAATTGTAACAATTTTAAATTTTAATGTTAAGATTAATACTCATCTAAGTTTGATGTGTAATTTGATAAAATTCAAAGTTGATGATTAAAATTAATACAATTTTTTAAGTTTATAGTTATAATTAAGATGCAAACAGAATGGAAGTTGTTTGGAATTATTAGCCTCAAACCTGGAAGCCTTTTTTTATTTTAAATTTAGTTTCCCAAAGAAATTAATCTCCATATTCGATCTTGATCTTAGCAATGGAGACGAGACCAGCTCCAAGCCTGGGGATGAGAGTGACGATGATGCTGTCGTCACAATCAGCATCCAAATCCTCAAGCAGTTGAGTTATCCCCAACCTAAGCCCCGTCTTCATCTTCTTCTTGTGTCCGTGCTTATGCGGCACGTTCACAAAGCTCCCTGCAAACTCACTAATGTCGGCTCTATTTTCCTTCTCATCTTCGTCGTTGATATAAATATCGAACTTTACCAGCATGTTGGGGTCCAACTTGATTCCCTCAATCACCAAAATCTCCTCTTCCTCCTCTTTCTCCTTCTTGCTTCTTGATTTCTTCCCCCTCTTCACTTCCGTACTGATCGCCGACTTCAGAGTCACCGGGAACTTCATCTTTGGTGGTTTGACGCGCCTGGACGGGACATTACTGTCGACGCTTTTCTGGGCTCTGAGGGCTCGACAAGGCGTGGGGCGGGTTTCGAGCCATGGGAGTTCGACGTCTTGGTAGATGTAGCCGAGGTTTTTGGTGTCGAGACAGTCTCGGACTCGGACTCGCACGGCTTGGGCCTTCTCGTTGTAGAAAATGAAAGAGGCGTCGAGCCATTCAGGGTATTGTAGGTCCCGTCGCCTTCCGCCGAGGGTCTTCCAGACGGACCACATGCGGTCAACGTTGGAGTGGTGGGAGTAGAAGATGGGATCTCTGGCCGCGGAGTAGAAGTTTCCCATGTTCTCTAGGTTGGGCTCGTTGTTGTCGCCGCACCATGTGTGTACCGTATTGTGTGGGATGTTCTCCACTGACCCACCTCCTATCATTTTGGGTATATTCGGTTAGAACATATTGACAATGATATGATATTGTCAAATTTGAACATAAGCTCTCAGGGCTAAACTTCTCCAAAATTCCTCCCATAAAAAGTATTATTTGTTTATAGACTAATGATTCTTCTCTAAGTTAAAATTAATCTATAATTAAAAACAAAAAAACAAAAAATGTTTGAATAAAGTAGAAAGTTGGGAGAAAGAAAAATATTGGCTAAATAAAAAATAAAATCACTCGAATTTATGAAGTAAATAATGTTATACTAAAATATTACCGGGTGATGGCTCGTCTCCGGCTACATAAGCGCTGCCGAAAAACAGCTTGGGCGTGACACTATTGGAAACCATCTGGCGATACATAATTCTAAGATTACTTTTTATCAGCGCATCATCGCCTATGGTCGGATCAACCCCATCGAAATCCAGATCCATCAACGTTGGCGGCAGATGATTTTGGTTCCGAAGTTGGTCATAAAGCGAGGAGTTGTGGTCGGCGTACATGGCTGGCATTCTCATACCCCCAGGAGCATCGTAGTTCCAAAAGGGCAAGGCGAAAGTGGGATCTCCAATCAGCTCTCCCAATATCTTCTCGTAAAAGTAGAGATAATAACGGTGAAATGGGAAAAACAGCCACGAGTTATGAACTTGCACCTCAACTGGAAACCCCACTTGGTCGTACCCTCCGTTACAATAAGCACAGTGAATGTTCGCTTGTTGCATGAAGCTACGTGGGTCATCTCCGGGCAGCCCTTTCATTAGCTCCACGGCTCTCTTATATTTGTCTATGTAGCTTTGATCCGCCAAATGGGCAGCTGGCCTGACCCGTAGTTTTCCCGGCACCGGTGGTCGGAAGTCGACGATAGAGGGGGACGGCGGTGGGCAGCAGTTAGTTGGATCGGCGCCATGTGGCAGGTCTGGTGGGCTACACTTGCTAATGTTGGGAGTTTGGACTGGAGCGGCAAGGGCAAAGGTGGAATCTTTGGTGAAGGCCGAAGCTCCGTAGATACCGCCTGCGCCTATCCCAATAAGAACGTCTCTTCTATCAATTTTGCCATCGGCGGCGCTACACAAAACTCGAGCAGCGTTGTTGGGAAGGTATTTTGATGTTGGAGGCCTGGATGATGGCCGAAATGTGGTGGTGGAAAGAGCTGGTGACGATAGCGAACCCATTGCTTGATTGTTAAACCAAATATGGTTTGTTTCAAATCCCAATCTTATGCGTATTATTTATAACCCAAAAAGAATCTATCTCAATAGTATGAACTAAAACTTTGTATTATTTTTAACTACTTCTACTTTTAAATAATGTTTAATTATAAGTTTCCTCAAAGTTTTATACTTATTTAGTTGTATTTTAACTTTTTAATTTGGTGTCCACGTAGATTTGTTGAATGTGCCTTCATATGTACTAAAGCAACCAAACTTTTCTAGATTCAAACTTACTAAATAAGTATACTAGTTAGAGGAAAAAAAAAAAACATGTAAACAAGTAACCTAAATCTTACTTCAAAATCACCTTCAGATACACAACGTTACTCTTTAAAAGTGGTGAGATTAAGGTTAAAAAATATATAAAAGAATTAATAATTACTACCTATACTAATAAAGTTCAACGAGCTTGACTTTGAGTAATTTTATGTTTTGTGATTTCTAAAAACATTTTAAAAAAAAAACATTTGATTGAACACCAAACGTACTAATAAAAAAAATTAGTGTGATTGTTTAAATCCAAATAACATCTTATGGGAATAAGTTTACCTTTGTTTTTTTTAGAGTAATGAAAGTGTATAATAGTAAATTATGCACACGATTGATATCGTTTATTAAAAGTTAAAATCTTATTGCTGACGTATTTCTATAATACAGTGAAATAAAAGATAAGTTTGAGATCGACCCTAAAAAAATTATCGAATTATTAAGTGTATTCATTTAAAGTATAAGTAATAATGTTGATTAGTTACAATCAAAAGTAGAGTTTATTAGTTTATTAAATAAATTGTAGTCCTTATACATTGTTAGATTATTATTATTGAATCAACATTAATTTTCAAAATTGCATTGTACAATTCTTAACTCAACTTATTAAAGACTACTTAATAATGTTTAACTGTTATAATTAAGGGTAGAGTGAAATGGCTATACAGGTCATTTTGTAGCAATCACTTGACATTGAATTATTTAACTTTAAATTTCTACGTGGGCGGTAAATTCTTGTAGACATTTTTTTCACCATAATTTTTGGTAATTAATTTTTACTGGCCATTCCCATTTAGTAATCTTCCAAAGGAAAGTTGGAAGGTGTTCATTTCATAAGTTGGGCCTAGTGGGCCTGTTCGTCCCATCCGAAGGATTGAGGGGCCCAACAAATTTGACTTGGGCCTGAATTTTGAAAATAAAATTTGTAATGCGTTGCAATTGACTGTTTGCAAATATTTTAGATTTACAAATATATCAATAAAACAATCAAATTATAATTTATTGGTATATATATGATATACTTTATATTATATTATTGGTATATTAACAGTTAGAGTGAAAGGGTACACCCCAAAACCAAGGGCGTACTAACTAAAAGCTGAGTCCTTTCCGAACCGCAAGAGATAGTTGCCCATCATACGGCTCACCAACTTCACTTGCCTCTATGGGAGGCTCGCTCCGGACAGGTTCGAATCACTTACAATACACGGCTCTACGAAGGAAGGGCTTGGTGGGTTAGTAACGCGTTTTCAATATGATGATTTTTCCGTATTTATTTGATGAGAAATGCGAGACGAAAAAGGAACTCATCTTTTCGACTGGGAAATGCAAGCCTGTTTTGTCCATTATATGATATACTTTTATATCCATATATCAATCAATTTATACCCTCAATAATTATATAATTCATATGCTAATATAATAAATCTCTAGCATGTTGTTATTTGTGGACTCAATTTGAATAAGAAGTATTATTTTATAGGGTATATTATTAAGTTATAATGTATCAATTTGTTATATTGATAACCATTATGATTCGAGTATTCGAATATTTGAACTACGACAAATCTTCAAAATGGTTATTTTTGTAGGTTATAAGTCTGGATGGACGTATGAAACTTTAATATTTTATCAACTTAATATTAATATAAAATGGAAAATTAAATTGTTATAAAATTAAATTTAATAAATATCCGAAGATAAATGTAATTAATAAGATATAAATACACAACCACGGCGGTAGGTGACCAGAGAATGAGAATTCGCTTTCAATTTTAATTCCTCTGTGACATTCAATTTCCGACAGTAAAATTTGATGTCTAAATTCCTTAACATCTTTCAGAAACAAAGTACCAAAACATTTCCCAGAAAATTAAGGACTGTTCTAAATCTATGATGATATCTTTAAACAACAAATGTAATTTACGATTTCATTGTTACTATAATATCAACAATGCTTCCCTTCTCAACTTGAAACTTTCGGCTATGGCTGTTCCACAAATGGAGAGCCAAGCTCTGGGATTCAATGTGTTTCAGTTTCGCCTTTACCCATTTCAAATGAACTGCATCTTTTGGACTCTGGAACAGAGCCCTGATTCTGCTCCAAACAACAGGGTAAAACGCCGACGGAGGAAGAACAGTCAAATTAAAACCAGGATTTTGGTTCAATCTCGACACCACTCTTGATACTAAATACGGTCCGTTGTGACCCCATTTGTTTCCGTCGAAAGTTGTGGTGAATTCTTGGATGAATTGAAGGAGAAGTGGGTGATTTTTGTCGAAGATCATCACTGCGTTGTTCAATCTGCTCCAATTTCCGGTTTTCAAATCGATGGTTTGAGCTCCAATTACGTTTCGGAGATTTGTGAAGTTCTTTAGAATTATCACGTCGGCGTCGAGGTAAATGCCGCCGAAATTGTATAGCAGAGCCAATCGGAGCAAGTTTGAGAGGTTTTGAGCTAAAGAAATTTCGCCGGGTTTTATGATTCCTTGTCGGAGTTGATTGAACCATGGCTCTGCTTCGGTGTTTCTGAAAATTGAATCGAAATCCGGAGAAATTACAATCAAAGGGAACCCTTTTTCCGAGAATGGGCTGAGAATTTGTTTCCCTTTTGTGGAATCGAGGGAATTCGAGACAATGACCAAACACGGATTTCCATTTTCATGAGCCTTGAATATGCTCTGTATTGCCCAAAATTCTCTGTCGCTAAACGAATTCAATGGTGAAATCCAAATCATGAAAAATCTAAGCTTACATGAATTCGCAGCCAAGAACTCCTCAATCCTTGCTGAAAATTCGTTTTCTCTTGATTCCAGCCGGAGGCTTCTCAGGCGGCGCTTGTATTTCCCGACCCTCTTCGCCGCCAGTTCAGCAGAGTCATCAGCGCGGATTTTAACATGGGGATTGTGAAAAACAGAGGAATTTGATTTAAAAATCACCGGTGGGTGTTTTTGTTCGATGGAAAAAAGAACGTGGGTCGAAGCGGGAACGGAAGAAGAAAGATTGGAGCATCGTTTATCCGGCGAGAAAGGGGGAGAATGAGGAATCGTCTTCTCCGGCGACGGTGAGTAAGTAAAGAAGACGTGAAGGCCATTGAAAGCGAGAAGGAAGAGAAGGAGAAGAGAAAGAAAAGAAGCGGTAAGGGATGAGAGAAAATGGTAATAAGCAGATTCCTTGAGAGGTTGAAGGCGGCGGAGTAGAAGGAGGAGGAAGAAAGATGGCCTGAAATTTGCAATCATTGGAAATGGAAGAAGAAGAAGCGGAAGATCCCGAGGGAAAGTCAAGCCTGCAAATATGTGAAAATCGAATTTGTATCAATTTTATGGATCTCTATAATAAATTTCATTATAATTTTAAAATATTTTTTTTAGGAACAATTATAAATATATATAAAAAAGAAAAAAGTTTTGAAAGGAGAATTTGGGGAATGTGCATGTGCTTGTGAGGAAACACAAAAAGTAGTGAAAAGGAAGGGGATGGGACTGTGGGTGCAGAGTGGCCAGCTTTTTTCTTTCCTTACTTTTCCCCCCTTGGAGTATTGGATGTTGCTATGTGAATACATGGATATTAAATTATGTTGGATTCCACTAGTGTCCGGATAAATTTGACCTATTCTCCTATTCCCCATCTATGTATATGGAATACTTAAGATAGAACATCTTTCTTAGTAGGGTTTGGAAAAGGATTGGGAAATTGGTTTTACTATATATGTAATGTGAAATCCCACCTCGGTTGGGAAGGGAGGAGAACCAAACACCTTTTATAAGAGTGTGAAAATCTTTCATTAGTAGACGCGTTTTAAAAACTTTGAGTGGAAGCTTGAAAGGGAAAGTCTAAAGAGGACAATATATGCTAGCCGTGAGTTGAGTCGTTACAGGCGGTATCAAAGCAAGACACTGGGCGAACGACACTAGGCCTCGAAGGAGGGTGAATTTGGTAGGGGTCTCACATTAATTGGAGAAAAGAATAAGTGACAACAAGGACACTGAACCCTAAAGGGAGTGGATTGAGAGATCCCATATCGGTTGGGGAAAGAGCAAAACACACCGGACAAAGGACATTGGGCCTCGAATGGAGGGTGAATTTGGTAGGGGACTGCCAGCAAGGAGGATTTGGTAGGAGAGTGGTGACAGCAAGAACACTAGGCCCTAAAAGGAATGGATTGTGAGATCCCACTAAAAGGAGTGGATTGTAAGATCCCACGTCCCTTGGGGGAAGAACAAAACACCGTTTTAAAAACCTTGAGGGAAAGCTCGAAACACCATTTTAAAAACCTTGAGGGAAAACCCGAAAAGAAAAGCCTTGGGCCATTACATGTCGGGAGTAAACATAAAAGTTCGAAAGATGAACTGAAAAAACCAAAGCCCAACGCAATCGATCGGTCAACACTTTCGAAAAGGGGAAATTTGGTGGATCAAAACTTAAAAATTGTAGACATTTATCGAAAATCATCACATTGATACTGAAGAACGAAGAAATGGGTTATAAATTATAAAGTCGAAAATGAATAATGATTTCATTCCACTATAGTTTTCTGTATACAAACAAGCATCTTCTTACCATAAGCTACAATGGAGGTATTGAAAGAAAATGAAGAAGAAAAGCTACCAAAAAAAAGCTGAAAATGTAAATGGGTGGAGAAAGAACTCTGAAACTTTAAAGAAGAAAAAGAAGAAAGAACAATGGTCAATCAGACAACAACATAAGCGATAAGCCCTCTGGCTTTTTCTGTATGTTGCAGCTTTTCTCTATTTCTATGGTATCAATTAAGGATAATCAATCCGACTAAGGTGAAGAATTTACAGGAGCTTCATGCTTTCTTTATTCTCAGGAAGTTCTACATGATTCGATCACTTCGGTTACGGTTTTATGCGTCTCCGGAGAAATCATGTTCAATGTCAAATGAAACGCCTGGAGACAAGAAGATCAAACAAATATTATCTGCACAAGATTTTTCAGTCCAAACACATTGGTTGAATATGCAATCACATAACCATCATCCCAAGAAAAACCCATAAGAGTTTCATGCTGTGATCATTAGGAATGGCTGAGTACATACCACAAATCGCTCCAAAACTGGCACAAGAATTGCTAGGCTGTGATCTGGAAGACAGTCGACAATGGCATCGCGTATGCCCTGGCTGTGAAAACAAAGAAACAAAATCCCTTGAACATATCCACAAGAAAGCTTAATTTAGTTGTAATACAAGAGAAAAACACCAACCTTTCAGTTGAAAGAAATGCTAGAAGTAGCGCTGAATAAGCCTCAACGATCATCTTTTCTGCTTCCTTTTCACCTTCCAGAAGAGCTACCTCCTCGTTCTGTTCAAAGATCATAAATGAATAGTTTGGTATTATATCATATCAAAATTATTACCTCGGAGCATATCCTTATTATATGTCCAAGGTCACTGCAATACTTGCACTCAATTGGTCCATCAAGTTCGAGTGAAATTTTACTAACCCATGGCAAAGATTCCCCTTCTCCAACTCCTTCGCTTGCTCCTTGGTTGGCCAGAAAGATTGAACATATTAGAGGAATTACGTTGCTATGACCCTTTTCTGGTCCATGCACGCTAGGTATCAAAACACTAGCTGAAGCAAGTCGTGATCTGCGCGATAGTTTAGGCCACATTAGTTTTTTAAAATCGTGTTGTTCTTCTCACAATTTTTTCACAATGGTCTTTATCTTCTTAAGATAAGATTTGAATTTTTAGCAAAATTCAAAAAACGAAGCCAATGAATGTGAAAACCATATGTATCAAAACATCAAACTGCTGCACACTAACCTGTTATGACCATCCTTCTCCACCAAGTTCACAAGCAGGCCCAAAATCGCAACAAGAAAATCAAGCTCTTGATCCGTTAGGTGCTTCTCGTTCTGAGACTCAAATTCGAGACTCAATGTATGAGCTTTTAATCCATTTAGGGTGGATGAAGTGGAGCAGAATGAAGGAAAATGGTTGGCAATCAGTGAACACATAGTTTCTAGTCCTCCACAGGAAGCAATTTGTTGACAGCCAACATGATTATCATTGGTCAAGTTCATCAAAACCTGAAAATAGAAGACAGATTGAGCAGTGTATATTTATAATATTAACACAAAATAACTACTAATACGTCATCCAAATCCTGGGAGTAGATTAACTGTGATATCCCACATTGGTTGGGGAGGAGAACAAAACACCCTTTATAAGGATGTGGAAACTTTTCCCTAGCAAACGCGTAATAGGGAAGCCCAAAAACCTTGAGGGAAAGCCCAGGAGGGAAAGCCCAAAGAGGACAGTATCTGGATGAATACCGGTTCCGCTATGTAACTCTGAAAGACGCGTTTTAAAAACCTTGAGGGAAGCCCGAAAGGAAAAGCCCAAAAAGGACAATATCTACTAGTGGTGGGCTTAGACCGTTACAAATGGTTCAGGAAGTTTATTAGATTATTAGGTATCCAACAGAAGATATTCAACTCAATAATTACCCTGAAACTTTAACATTCAAAAACTAAATGAGAAATAATCTGTAAAGAATGCTAAAGAAAGTGCAAATAATATTAGTAAACCTTGATAGAAGTAAGAAGGCAGTCAGCTACAAGGTTGAATCCCTCCTCATTAAAGGATGCCAAGCTTGAAATTTCATTGAAGAAATGGCTTTCTCCACTGATTGATTCTTTCTCAGTCGTCATCACCTGAGATTTTGATCCATTCTCGAGATCTCTAAATTTGACCACCCCTTTTTTAGCCCGAGATTTCTTCTCTTTCTGTGAAAGTAACTCCCACTTGGAGGGTTCGAGATCACCCTCGTCAAAAGCAAAGGGATCCTGGTCCTCTGAAAGGTTAAGCTCACAAGTGAAAGGATCGGGATGATTATTTTTCTCCACAGGCTGATTATTCAATGCAGTTGCTCCATCATCAGTACTTCTTGATGTCACACTGGATGAACCAGATGTGAAGCATCTTTGCCTCATCTTGAAGAAACTGGAATTTTCCAATGAAGTGCTAGTAGTTCCAGAAGCTGTTAGAGTATTGTCTAATCGAGCCGTGGCACTCCTCATGTTCTGGGATATAATGGAGCTCTTGTCAGACAAAGTACTCTTGGTGTTGCACCATGTCTTTAAATTACTGCTTGGTAGAGTTATCTTTCTGTTTGCTGCAAATGTAAGAGAAATCAATATTTTTTAAATACGAAAAGTAACCATTCATGTAAAAGAAAATGATGAAATATGAAACGCTGCATCAAGAAAAAAACAGCACATACAAATTGGAAAACCATTACCTTCACGATCTGCCTCTGCAAGCAATTTGGAAGTTTTGTGAGACCCATCAATGAGATCAGCTAGCTTCTCATTATTTAAACCAGCAGCAGAACTTTTGCGTAAATAGAGACCTACAATGAAGCGGCATTGATCAACATCAGATGACTTTGAAAAACAACATATTGAAAGAAAATGAAAAGAAAACCAGTGTGTGGTTAGTTACCTGAAAGAATCTTGATGACATTTAACATGATTTCCGTGAAAGATTGCGGTGTTCCTTGACCCTCCAAGTTTCTTTTAATTCCAAGCAAATGACTCTGTCATTAATGTAATTACAAAAAAGATTGAAAAGAAGTCCTAAGAACTGTGTATTTGGTTAATTTTATGGGAAGGGAGAGAGAGAGAGAGATCACTTTTGTGCATACCTGGTTTTCTTTACTGAGGAATGTGGCATTTTCCATTATCTTCAAGCACTTCAAAAGAAGCATCAGGCTCTGCAGAAAGTTTTCATATCTTGCATCCTGTGTAGACAGTGAAATACGCTTTACACAACCCTGAAATAATGTGCCACAAAATTTTCTGATATTCCATATATTATAAGGATATTCTAACGTATGAAATAGAGATTAAAATTCATCGTTTACCAAGAAATGTAGCTATTATTCATATTGAAATGAAATAAAAACAGTTCTATATCATTTGGTGACTCTTCTGGTTAAACCATGGGCCCCAACCAATGATGTCAGACCATACTACACTGAGCTACAGATGACAACCATAGTTCAGCATTTCCTAACAATAACAAATCATAACGAAAAAGAAAATATGGCACTGTTGATATCTATATATACATAAACTTTAAGGTAAAAAGAATACCACTGATTCACTGAAACAGAATTAATAAAGTTACACTTTGTTTTTCTTCTCCCTTTTTTTTTTTTTGGTGTTAAAGGGTTATTAAGAATTTCCAGCACAATTCAGTAACATTTTTCAAAAAAAAATTCTATTCATTGCAAGAAAGAAGAGGAAAGTCAAAGGTATCAGTTCTAGGTTTGTAGGCTAAATTTGGAATACG